TATTCAATTAGAACAAATGGTGTGCTTGTATTTATACCAAGGTAAGTCATATCCACCAATACAGAATTTTATTTAAAATAAAGCCTAGAGGATCAGTATTCAATACTCCTAAATTTATTTCAGGCTTTGACTCCATTTAATTTGCTCACAAAGCAGAATATTTTTTGGGGGGGAGGAAGGTAAAGCAGTGTTTTCCATCTTATTCTACTGGGAAAAATACTTGTAAATTATAATTATAGTTCATATTATGATAAACTGTATATGAAAAATACTTCTTCATATGGCATTTTGCCGTTTACAAATGCCATATACTTTGTCTGTTTTGATCCTTACAATAGACAGAGTGGAATAGTGGCGGGGGGTGGGAAACTTACTTTAGAGTAGCTGACCTGGTTTCTGCTACCTGTGTGATCTGGGGTGTCACTTTATTTTTCAGGGCATTAGTTTCCTAATTTTCAAAATGGGGGTTGGGGTTAGATAGTTTTTATGGCCCCTTCCAGCTCATAGTACCAGTGTTGTTATCCCCATTTTATAGATAAGGAAAGTATAGATTTGCTGAGGTTGTGATTTCCCTAAAGTCCATGGGTGTGCTGGAGCCCTCTCCTACCAGAAGAGCTCACATTTTCAGAATGAGCATTTATACCTTAGAAATCAGCAAACACTACAAATCAGGGCTTGATTTATAATTTTGTCATTGTCTAGGCTTAAGCAAAGTGGGGGTGGCAGGATGGGGTGAAGGGAAGAAATGTTAATAATGCAGATCAAGCTTAAAAATGTGGTATATTCTCGGAGAGCCAGTTAAACATTTACCTGCACACTTCTGCCAAGGTCAGACAGAAAGTAGCAAAAACCAGGATTCAAATCCATTTTTACTGGACTTAACAGAATTCTTTACACTATTCCATGATAGCCCTACAGTCACAAAAGGTACTCTTTTAAAATAAAGGATTTTAGATAAAAAGTATCCAGTGAGGCCCATGGGCCGAATGTAGCTCCCAAGTATGGCCTGAACCAGATTAAAATGAAATCAGTATTGAATGTTAAGATTTATGTTGAATGGGTATGTAAATGTAAAGCCTATATCAGATTGTGTGCCGTCTTGGGGGGGGGCGGGGGAGGAAAAGGGAGAAAAATTTTCAACTCAAAAGCATATGGAAAAAATAAAAAAATTTAAATGAATGTTAAGATTAAAAATTAATATTAAAATGAATGCTACAGGCAGCTGGGTGGTACAGTGGAGAGAGCACTGGCCCTGGAGTCAGGAAGATTTGAGTTCAAATCCCCACTCGGACACTTGACACTGTGTGATCCTGGACAAGTTACTTTAACCCCGATTGCCTCACCAAAAAAAGTGAATGCTAATACTAAAATAAAAATACAGTAGAATATATGTAATAATGTGTGGTTTTCTAAGTCATTATGCAGCTCAAAGGGGTCCTTGTATAAGGTTTAGTGGCCCCATTTCAATTTGTGCTTAACACCATTTTAGATAAGGTCCTTGATCTGAAGGCTTGCCTGCTTACAATATGGCACCTCTGAATTTGTATTCTCTGTCTGTAATCCAAGGTTTGGGATTAAAGGTGCAGCCTACCTGAAGAATAAGGATGGCTTGGTTATCTCATGTTATCAGGATGGATGTTCTGAATGGAAACCTGGATCACTTCAGCGATTTCAAAATAAAATCACTTCTACCACAGCAGGAGGAGAATCAATTACATTTAGCTTGTTTGATCATGTTACAGTAAGTCCAGTTCCATATCAGGTGTCTAATGGAAAGAACACAGAAGGCAGTGATATAATGTGGCCCTTTCTTTTCTTTGATAGGTAAGGATATCTGTGCAGGCCTCTCGTTGCCATGCTGACACGATCAGGCTTGAAATCATCAGCAACAAACCGTACAAGATATCAGAGACGGAACTTTCTCAACAGAATTCCCTTTTAATGAAAAATGAGCTAGTGAAAGAAGTAACTAGGTCTGTTGAAGAAGCTCAGCTTGCCCAAGAAGAAGCCAAAGTCAAAATCATTCAGGAAGAATATCAGGAATATTGCCAAACAAAAGGGACTAGCTTGTACACACTTCTAGAGGAAATAAGGGACTTAGCTCTTCTGGACTTGTCCTCCAGTTATGCAATGTAAAATATACTTCGTTATTCCATCTAAGGAGTTTTGCCTCACAAATTTTTTTATGCTTTTCTTGAAATATATAATTATTTTACATAGATGGTGTCATTGATTATTTTAGTTAGGACTAGGTAAACATTGCAGTTTTGTTTTTGGACTGAACAGTTTCATTGACAGAGAGAACTCACCATGAGGCACCTATTCTATTATTTATAGAGTAGCCTGGGAAACAGAATTTAAATTGGAATTTAACCTTTCTTGTGTCATGGACACCTGTGGCAATCTGGTAAAACCCATGAATTCTTTTTCAGCATAAGGTTTTAAAGTAAAAATACATAGGGGATCACAGAAGAAATCAATTATGTTGAAATAATTATCTCCATCCACCTATCTATATCTATTGATTTTTTTTTTAAACAAATTCATGGACCCTCCATAAAGAACCCCTTGAATTGAATTATTTGCTTTGGGTCATTCAGCCCATATGAGTCAGAGTTAGGACAAGAATTCAGGTCTTCCTGACTCAGACTACCTCTCAAATATTCTTTGCATATACAAATAAGTTATTTTTATTAGTTGCTTGAATTTGCATTCAGTACAAAAAATGAATCTTTTGTAAAAACAATGAACACATAGACAGTGGTAGCTCTAAAAGGCTGATTATCAACCAAGTTTTCAGAAACTGTCAGTATCAGTTTGCTTTGTCCTGAATCACTATCCATCTCTTTCATTATTTTTATAATTCTTCTATAAATATTTTCTTGAGAGCAAAAAGAAAATCTTTTGTACAAGAATGATCAGTTCTTAACATTCTAGCCAAATGGGGGTCAGAATCTACAAACAAGATGGGAGGACATTAGCTTATATAAGGATCAGGTATTGCATGTGGTTTGGGTGCTGACACATTTGTTCTTTCGACAGATACTAAGCTCAGGATGCTGGAGGACACAGAAAAACATTAAATGCAATCAATCTCTGCTCTCTTGGAGTTTATAGTAGAGAGATATTCACAAATAACTTATCTGTAACTTAACTTTGGATTCACAGACTATTCAAAGTGGAAGATATTTTTGACTATAAAATGTCTCTGCATTGGATCAAACCCCCATCTGGGAATCATTTCAACTCAGTTTATACCTTACTAAACATTTAATCAAAATTTAACAGTTAACAAATTCACAGATCACATATCTTAAGTTCCTAAAAGGGATTTTCAAGGGGGACAGCTATTTACTTACGGATACTTACTAGCTGTGTGACCCTGGGCAAGGCACTTAACCCTTTTTGCCAGTTTCCTCATCTGTAAAATGACTAGAGAAGGAAATGGCAAACCACTCCAATCTTTGCCAAGAAAAACCCCAAATAGGCTTACAAAAAATTAGACACGACTGAAAAACAATCTGAGCCTTATTTTATCAGTGAGGAACTAAGGCTCGGAGGTTTTGACTTATCCAGGGTCAAGTAGGTAATAAATGACAGAACTAGAATTCATCCATAGCTAGGTCCTCGATTCCAAATCCAGCACGCTCTCCCCCATACTAGACTCTCAATACACATATATCCACACATTCCAGGGTTTAGAGTCTCATCCTTAGTGTCCAAGAGAAAGGAGGGGAAAACCCAGGGGACAAAAACCAGACTCTTGAGATAATGTCCTTCAAAAGAACCACTGTTTTGCATATGTACCCAAAACCTGACAGGCAACTAATTGGTGACTTAGTGTAGTCTGGAAGAAGTGAGTTCAAGGGGCAGCTAGGTGGCACGGTGAATAGAGCTCTGGCCTTGGAGTCAGGAAGACCCGAGTTTAAATCTGGCCTCAGACACTTGACACTAGCTGTGTGATTCAGCAAGTCACTTAACCCTGATTGCTTCACAAAAAAAAAAAAAAAAGGAACTGGGTTCAAGTCCTAAATGTAAAAACTCTTGACTAGGTTGACCTGAGCAAGTCACTTAACTTTTCAGCCTCAAGCAACTCGCAAGACTATAAACTGCAGAACTGATGGTAGAGCTTCCTAGAACAATGAAGTCGCGGCTCATTAGGACACAGCCAAGTTAAAACTAGGAATGACGAGAGGTATCACAGGAGATTGATTCTTAAGGTATGATTTCTACTGACTTCTCACTTATTCTTAGCAATAGGCCATCCTGTGCTGCTTTCCCTTTTCCTATACTAGAATACACATTAGAATGGAATGACCTGGGGCCTCAAGGGAAAAACTGCCAAATGAATGTGCCTCATTATATCAATATATGAAAATGAAATGGTTATTCCCCTCATAAGTTAGAAAGTACTAAGAACAGTTTCTTGGCTAAGAAATGCTGAGGAAGCAGAGTTTACCCAGAACTGGAGGTTAACAAAGCAGGTACTACAAGAGACCTAGGGGCTGAGATCCTAACAAAAAGACTGAGATGGCTGATGATGGGGGAGGGATCAGGTGCTTAGGGAAACAAAAGGAAAACAGAAATAGACTGAAGGACTAAGAGACTACAGGAGCATTTTAAAAATTAGTGATCTAATAAGATTTTAACTGGAGTACGATTTGAGAATTGTGGAGATAACACTTTTCAGCTGAAAATGTGGCTGTGCTTATGGGCTGGCTAAAGAGCAGAAATGAAGGTCACTAGATCAAAGAATTTTAAACACAAATTATCAGATTAATTCAATGATAATATTACTGCATAATCTCTAAAGACAAATCTGAAGTTTGGATGCCAAGCAGTGTTGTCTCATGTGTTTGTATGATGTACATATAAATGCCAACATAACTTACCTCTATGTTGAGAATCTCATTAAGCTTTCAAAAATATAGGAAAATTACCAATATATACAAACTAATGTAAATAGTTTCTATTATTATATTCATTAAAATGCCACCCTCTCTGTAAAAGAGCTTTTATTCACATTTTACAAAAAAACAGACTGATATTAGTGTACAATCATTTTTATATCTTAAAATTTAAGCACTTTTTATTAAAACAGGACTCTTAAGCTGTATACTAGCAGCAGAAGTTACCTGTCAAAAGATCTGTTTGTATAAAAAGACAAGGAGAAGAATCTATGGAAGCTGTGACAACTTAGGCTAATATAAATAAATAAAAGGGACAAATATAAACAAGTGGGTCAGATCTTTAAAAAGCTAATAAAGTTAGCCACTTAAATATTTTCACCTACTATGAAAAAAAAATACAATAAATCTTTACTAAGCTATTAATAATATTAAGACTTTTTTTTAGTCTTAACTGAGGCTAATACATATTTCTGAATGGGGCAACCCATTGTTGGCACTTAAGTGCTCTTAAATAAAAGCTTTGCTGGCTAGTCATCGTTGCATATTTTAAATGGCTTCATCTCCTCCTGAGTTTTCTAAGTCATCATGTATATTTGCAGTACTGGCAACACTGTCTGAGATGTCTAGATTTTCTTCATTTAATTCATTTAAGTTCTCTTCTTGAGCTTCATTTGTATTATTCTCAGATGCCTGTGTCCTGGGCACGATAACTGACAAATCTGGGGGGGGGAAAAGTGTCATTATCCACTGTTATTTTAACTTGTCCTATTTTATAAATACATTAAAATATCTAACAATTATCACTAAGAACAAAATGTTTTATTAATGTGAACATAGTTCTACCTAAATAAGTACAAAAGTCCTTTTGGATTTCTCAGTCCTTTTAGACTTGTGCAAAAGTGGAAAGAAGTAGTGAGGTCTTTAAGAATAGGCTGAAGCTGTAGAGAGTGTTGAACTGTATGACCTGTAAGATTCCTGAATATTCAGAGGTTATATTCAAAATCTGAATAAAGAGCTCCATTTTGAATCACTAGACAATGACAGCACCAATTGTTACATGTATTTGATTATAGGTTAATAAGGTAGTTACGTAGATAAGGAAGTCTCTTCAAGTTAGAAATAGTATAAGGGGTGTGTGTGTGTGGATGTGGGTGTGGGTGTGGGTGCTCATATACTCAACTGTCTGCTAGGCTGGAATAATGAATGATTATCTCCCGTCACTTTGCTGTTTTATATAATCTTTTTTTTTTTTGGCTAGGCAATGGGGGTTAAGTGACTTGCCCAGGGTCACACAGCTAGTAAGCGTTATGCGTCTGAATCCAGATTTGAACTCAGGTCCTCCTGACTCCAGGGCTGGTGCTCTATCCACTGTGCCACCTAGCCGCCTCCGCTTTGCTGTTTTAGAGTAGACAGAAGATCAGGGGTGGGGGGAGGGGAGATGGGAACAAAGAAGCCACCACATATTGGCTCTATCCTTTCCATAAAAATCATTTTCAATATATTCAACTATTGTAAACAAATATTTTAATGACATATAAGTTGATTATTAATCGAAAAAGAGCCTGGAGCAACTTCATAACTCTACCAAATGAAAAATCATGTTGTGTTCAAGTGTCTGAAGAAACACCCGTTATTTGTCATACTGCCATGACACCAACATTTTCACTGCTTGCATTAACCATGGAACCACAGAACAAGCTCTGAATTTAGAATTAGACCTGGGCTTGAATCTCAGCTCCACAACGTTACACGTGTGACTTGAGATTTATTTACTTAGCCTTTCTGAGCTTGGGTGTAATTCTGGACCCCTGTATAGTCTCTTCCAACTTTAGATCTGTGATTCAAATCATACTTTCCCACTTTAAAGAAAAAACAAAACAAAACAAAGCAGAGACAAGAAGCAAGCCAAAAAGGGCATCTAAGCAGTGAAAAAAGGTGTCAAAGTCTCTGTATGAAATTTATACTAAACAGTGAGAATTTCATAAGCTTTTCCTTCATACTCACTTAATTTATACAAAATTCTAACAAACTTATTTAACAGAGGAAAAGAAAAGCTGGAAAACAGTTTCTGGTAGACATGCTGACAGCTGCCAACACTAATGGCAAAATAGTGCCAACAAACAAAGGCAACAACAAAAAAAACCTATTAAAATCAGATTCCAGAGCTTAAATAGCACAACAATCTGGGACCTTAGAGGAAAGACGAACAGCCCTACAGACCCTCATTAGGTTCTGAAGACATCACTCCAGTATTCAGTACAATAACTGCCATTCGTGAGAATGGCCAAGTGACCAAGAAACAGCTAAATTAATACTGAGTACAATATCTCATCTTTCAGGCTGTTTCATTTTTGTCTTTGGATCCCTACTATCTAGTATTGCTCTTGGTTCATAGGTGCTTGATAAATGGTTGTTGAATGAACAAAATTTTTCAAAGATTTCCATCCAAAATGGCCAAAATTTTAAAAAGCGCTTGGGTAAAAATGGTATAAATCCATTCCCTTCAGCCCTAAAATTGTGAAGCTTCCAAGAGTTCCAACTAGTTACGGTTTTGCTTTCTTTTAAAACTGAACCTTTATCACCTTTTCTTAGATTTATTATTTTTGGGGCACAGAAAGAACTTAGGTTAAAAATTTCTAACATATCCTTGGTACGTCAGTGGCAGCACATATAACAAAATGTATAATTTACCATTTTCTTGGGACTGACTGTTATTTAACAGTTTTGCCTGTCTCCTTTCCAAGGCTAGTTGTTTGTTCTTCTCAATTCTTTGCCGTTGCTCCTCCGTTAAATTTGTGCTTGACTGAGAAGCAAATATCTCTCTATCATTTGGATTTGCAAACAAGGAATCAAAGTCTGTGGTAGTTGTGTCTAGTCCATTACCTTCTGCTTTATCACCTAAATTAAAAAACAAAAATAAATCAATACAAGTATACTAATTGTATATATGACTTATTAAAGAGCAAAGAGTCCCCCAGTGAAAGCTAGTTTAAAAGTTGACTAAAAACAGTAATTCTTCTGATCAGAGTAGAATGCATTCCTAACACTGAAGTTTCAGATTGCTATTATAGACTTGAAGGTTCTATAATTTCGCTGGCATAGCTACTCTCTCTATTTACTCAGATCAAAACTTCTCTTTTGACTCTGAGCTATGGTATCCAAAAAATTCATTACCATGAGACCATACTTATTAAGCTAAGTGAGTTCTCAGACAAGTCATAAAGACATGCAGTTGGTCACTAGGCTGTCACTCAAAGCCTTTGCAACTTTCCAAGGGGCCAGCCAGAGATTTCAGCTGTCCTTCCCTCCTCCGAGACAGACTGTCAGCTTTCACAAACACAAGGTCAGGTCAAGAATCGCAAGGGTGGTAATGAAAACTATGAGGGAAGGAACAGGATCTGTAAATCTCAAACTGCAATACAGAGTAGTAATCATTACAACATTTCATTACTGCTTTAAAAAAACATCAATGAGTATATACAGATTAGGTATATAACATATGAAAATAAACACAAAAGCATCCTACTTGATAAACCAGAGACTCAGTTTAGTGGGGAAAAGACTCAGTATATGACAAAAATTTCTGGGAAAACTGGATAGCAACTGGGCAGAAATTAAATTTAGACCAACACTTCACATCATACACCAAAGTAAGATCCAAATGGATATGATGGCCTACATATAAAAGGTAACATCATAAATTAAAGGAGCAAGGATGAAACTACCTCTCAGAAGTTGGATAGAAGAATTTATAATTAAACAAATGACAAAGATCACAAGATAAAATGGACAATTTTAAGTACATAAAACTTTAAAGGTTTTACAAAAACAGATCTAATGTAGTAAAAATTAGAAGGGAAACTGGGAAAAAAAACTTTTACAGCAAGTTTCTCTGATAAAGGTCTAATATCCAAGATATATAAGGAACTGATTTGAACTTATTAAGAACCATTCATTCCCCAGTAGATAAATGGTCAAAGGAAATAAACAAGCAGTTTTTTCCAAAGGAAGAAATCTAAGCTATTAAGCAAGCATATGAAAAAATGCTCTAAATCACTGATTTAATTTTTAGAGAAATACAAATTAAATGTTGGAGAAGTGGCAGGAAAACAAGTAGCATTTTGATAGAACTATTTACTATCCAGCTATTATGGAAAACAATTTGGAACTATGCCAAGAAAGTTACCAAACTGTATATACTCTTTTAATATAGTACTCTATTAGTAGACCTATACCACCTCAAAGAGGGAAAAGATTCATATGAACAAATATATTTATAGCAGCTCTTTTCAGAATAACAAAAAACTGGAAACTAAAGAAGTATCCTCTTATTGGATAATGACTAAATAAATTGGGGTACGTAAATGTAATGGTATATTTTTATCTCATAAGACTGATGAAGCAGTTTCAGAAGAAACAAACTGAGGCTGAGTGAAATGAGCAGAAACAGAGAATTTTTATAACATTATGGAGAAAAACAAATTTGAAAGCCTTTAGAATTCTGATCATTGTAATGATAAACCATGAGTCCAAAAAAAGATGGAACACAACACTTATCTCTTGACACCGAGGTTATGAACTTAAAATGAAAAAAGACATAAATCTTCAGACATGCTCAAGGAGGAGGAGGAGGAGGTAATAGGTGCAACAGATTAATCTTTAAAAGCCTAATTAAAAAATAAAAATAAAGAAGTAATTTTTTAAAAACACAAGGTTTTCTTCACACCAAAATGAGGCATCAGAGGTCTTTTCTTTAGTGGAGGAATGTTGAGATTATTTACCAACCAAAAAAGCATTTTTAAAAGACTTTAAAGTCAAATAGCTACACTGAAGTCATAAGGTAAAGGATAAAAAATGAGCAAAAAGTCTTAGTTTAAATTCTAGAGTCCTGGTTCTCTTTATTAAGAGTACCTTTTAGTAATTCAGTAACTACTCCATCCCTTACATATATGAAACCCATTCCTTTCCTCCCCTTCCTTTCCCTTGGTCCACATCCGATATCATACCCTTACCCTTACCTGTCGGTGTTCTGGTCAAAGGAATGTAAATTCCTTTGTAAATGGCTGAAACCTTGAGAAATATCTTGGGGTTTAAGCAAGATATCTTGGGGTTTATGGACTATATTTTATTCGTAAGGACTATGCCTTAAATCCAAATCACTCTCTCATCATTGACCAACAACAGGTCCCAGCCCAAGCCCCACTGGGTCACTGTTTGGCTGCAGATGACTCAGAGTGAATGTACATAGCAATTGTTTCTGTTTTGGCCAGAAACCCTGAAGGTCTTCCCCTCCCAGACTGATATGGTTTTTTTTTTACTAGGTAAAAGAGGCCATTCTTTGCTTCATTTCTTATCTAGCCTTAATCACTGAATGGGTGTTGCCTCAGTCAAACTGAGACCTAGGAAAGACCTAAGCTTAATAAAAGCCAAGGTCTCCCACTTCATCAGGGCCATCTCCAGTTGTCCTGATCTATACCCAGATGGCTCTGGAGGAGAAAGTGAGGCTGGTGACTGCACAGCCCTCTCTCACTTAAATCCAATTCACTTGCAAGTCATGGCATCACCCTCCTGAAGTCATGGTCCTCTTCAAGAACAAAGGACAAAAAAAAACCATATGAAATCCCACTATATGCCACATATCTTGACAAGAAATCCAGTTTTGGTATTGTATTAAATCATTCATATTCACCTTAAATTCAACTTACAAGTGACCCCGGGGAATTCTGTAGTGAGCCCATGTTTTCCACTATGTTTCAACACAAATATGTTGAAAAAAGATAGATGTGCAGAACCATCGCACAGGAAATCTGATAACTAGACAGACCCTGTCGGCAGGAACCACTTGTGTTGATATATGTGACTGACTGTGTGGTTACACTAAGTGACTAACAAATGTAACCAATACCAAGTGCAGTCACTTTGGTCTGGCTGCAGCCCTGCCACCAGAATGACCTTGGGGAAGTCATTTAGCCTTCCTGGGCTTCAGTTTCTTCTCCTATAAATAAGAGGCTGAATCAGATGTCCTCAAGTCCCCTGTCATGATCTTATGCTCAACTCTAAACAGTAAAATGCAAACTATTTCACCATCAGCTTATTCTACTTGATCTCCTAAGAAGCACCTTTTCAAGATTCAGTCACTAGGATGTGAACATCAACACTTCTTATCTCGACCTATCATCCTTTTACTCACTTCCTTATCTTGGCTAAATCATGAGTTAACCAAGTATAAACAGTGTCTCCATCAACTAAAGTCTCTTAAGGTCTTTTAATATCTTCTGGAAAATGGTACTCCAACTCAAGGAAGGACACAACAGACTTTACATAAGCATCTTATTGAGCTAGTTCACCAATGCTGGATTAGTAGTCTTTTGAATTTACAAGGATACTTTAACTTGACTCCTTATTTGTTAGATTGTCACTTTTTGCTTTAAAGATATATTCATCATTTGCTTAAAAAAAAAAGAGCCCCAATCCATTAGAACATATTCTAAAAACAAAATGGGTATATAAAAACTTAGCCCTCAACTGTAACTACAACAAATACTCACCATCATTACTAATAAAATCCTCATGTACAATAGGAAGATCAAGTCGAATTCGTTTTAAGCATGTCTGAAAGTAAGAAGGCAGTACATTTTTACATTTCAACACAGTCACCAAAAATGTCAGTGTAGTGGAAAAACAACAGCTACTTAAAGTTGAACATCATTCATTCTACTCCCAAGTTTCAAGAGATAACATTTTATTTCTATTATTATTCTATACTGACATTATGGGGGCAGCTAGGTGGTACAGTGGATAGAGCACCGGCCATGGATTCAGGAGGACCTGAGTTCAAATCTGATCTCAGACACATAACACTTACTAGCTGTGTGACCCTGGGCAAGTCACTTAACCCCATTGCCTAGCCAAATAAATAAATAAATAAATAAATGAATTTTAGAAATATTTTATTATGGATTCTTTTCTTCCCTACCAGGTTTAGCCAATTCAGAATACAGAATAACAATAGTAGCTCTGCTATGCTTAAAAAGAAGTGTTAAAACAATTGTTTTTATAGTGTTCTACTACAATTCTATGATGCTTCATATTTGTATGAAGGTTGTTCTAGGATTCTTGAAGGTTATATCAGTAGAATGTAAGCTCTCACAGGTTCTACACCTACCTAGAAAAGTCTTGACTCTGGACCCAAGAAAAGACTTATATAGAAAGTCTATTATATGATGGTCACCCTAGTTAATTTTGGAGAGGCTTCTCAGAACACTGAATATCAGTTATGTGAAGTTTTGGGCATAAAAATTCATAAAAGGCATAGAAGGGATTACAATTTGTGGAAGAATCCTTGAAGTTCTTAAAATTGTTGCAAAGTGCTCACAAGCACAGTAATTATAGATGCATTTTTAAATCATTTCCAAACATTTTAATTTAAAAAGGCACTCATAAAATATCATTCCCTCCTTCCATTAAGTCTATGCTTGTACTATATGGGATTGAGAAAGATACCTACATCATAGTTAATACTCACCTGAACTTCCTTCTTATTTCCCAAATGTTCTACTCTACCAATAAAATCCTCAAACTGCAGTTTAGGGAATAGCCTATGTGCCCAGTGCTCCATGTGTCTGATTAATGTCTTCAAATCTTCAGCCTAGAACATAAAAATAAAATTGCTAAATAGAAGTTCCATCCAAACATTTGACTGCGTCAGCAAATTCAGAATAAGGAGTGTTACCAAAGACACTGATGTCATTTAGTATTTTCAGAGTTGAGAAACTTTTAAAAGGAAACTAGTCAGTAAAGAGTTACTAAATCTAAAAGAGCCCAGAATATTTATTCACATAAAGGAAAAACATTGAATTATTTCAGATAAACATTCTAATAAGCATTTTCAAAAAAAATTTGAAGTGATTAGCTTAAAAATACTTTGAATATAGTTTTATATAGGCCAGGGGAAATCCCCAAATATAATTTATTCCAAATGCTACAGCAATTACACATGGATCACATTAAAACCATATAGGTATACATAATTACATAAATGTTTATGTCAATGGAACTCTTAGCAATAACTATTCACACAAGGCTCAGGAAGCCATCATTCAAGACTCAAGATTTTGAGGGGGAAAAAAAAAACATTTAAAATCCTTAAAAGGAAGTGTCAAGAAACTTTGGCAAGAGTATTTCCACTGCAAAGACTGCCAGAATAAGGGTGCTTTGGCTACAGTCTAATCAAGACACTCTTAACCGGGGGGTGGGGGTGTCCAGATCCATGAACTTTAAAAAATATTTTAATAACTGTATGTCAATATATTTTACTTCCTCTGTAATTCTATCTTTTTTATGCATTTAAAAACAATATTGAGTTAATAGGCTTCACCAGCATGCCAAAAGGGTCCATGATACAAAAAAAGGTCTAATTCATCTTCCTAGGCCCTTTCCATATCTGTATTCTGTGTTTCCATTAAGGGATTAGGACTTCTTCCTACTCAAACCTTCCTAGTTTCCTCATGCTTGAATATGAACTGGCATAAAGGACTTGCTGAAAAAAAAAAAAACCTAACATTGTCATACTGACTTATTAATAATGAATAGCAGTTATAATTAATTTGTAGGGTTCATTGTAAAGTATTCCATTTTCCATTTAATGATGTTTTATAACTTTGGACTAACCTTGAAACCAAAAGTCAAGAAATCAAGTTCTAACAATGGCTAACTATATAATCTTAAGTAACTTAACCTGTCTCTCAATCTATAAAACAAAGACTATAACCACCTTCCTAACTAAATCGAAGTGCCATGGAAAGTCTGTAAAGCTTTCTGGGCTTCTTAGGAAAATAACTGGCATGTTATAGCCTACGGGGTCACAAAGAATTGGACACAACTGAACAATAATAAACAACAGGAAAATGATGCTATTTGAATTCAAGACGTTATTAATAATAATAATAACAAAATAATAAAGACAAGTGTACCAAAATTAGTTGTTTCTTACCTCATGGCCTTTACCTTTGAATTTTACCTTATCAAACACATGCCTTAATGCTGGAAGTCCTCTTTCTGAAATTAATCTGTGAAATCATAAATATGTACTGTGAAAATCACTAAATTAAAAAGTATACTTGCATGGTAAACATGTAAAGTTATTTCTTAATGAATCAAAAATCTCTCTTCTAGGCAAGTTAAAATTTGATCAGTGAAATGAAACAATGTATCCAAAACCACCCTAACAAACACAAAGTTTAACATAATCAAAAGAAAGTTAGAAAATACCTCTGAGCATCTAACTTAGGCAAATTCCTTTTTACAGTTTTCTTTGTAGCTACAGGCATATCTCCCATCTGATCCCTCCTTGTATCTGAATAAAGATAAGGACATTTAAAATTATTTCTGTAATTAAAATGTGAAATGTGGTATTTACCACAAGTTAACATCTTAAAATAAGAACTGCCATGTGGATAGTTTCACTCATATCCACTCTACTAATCTGTTAAAGTTTGGATTTACTTTCCCTAAAAATGAAAACATCCACTTTATTACATTGCAGTTCTCTCTAGCTTTGTTGGAAGTCTAGTTGTGCTTTGGTTTTGATTGAGATAGCACCAAATACAGTTGATTCTCAAGTAAGCATTATTGATATAATTTCCAAACAATATTTATTTACATAATGACTACTTAGGTATTTTTTGGAACCACTCCTTTCTAACCTGTGGTGGGCTCATTTTCTCCAGCATCATCCCTTCCTGGAGAGGCTGGTGGTGGAAAAGGTTGGAAAGTTTCATCTTCTACCGCCTCATAATCAGGAAGATCCAGCAAATTGTTCTCCTCTGGTTCCATTGTTCCTGCTAGGAAAAGGGAGAGAGGGAAGTAAAGATAATTAAAAATATTAAACACTTCTTCCTAAATTGAAATTTTTCATCTGAAACCTCTCCTCTCCCTAGTCCTTATCCAGGATAACCATGTTTTATGATTCAAGTGTAGAAGTAATATAAAAAGGCTATACTTGTTAAGTCAGAAGACTTGGGATCAAATTCTGCTTCTGACATTTATTTGCTGGGTATCACTGGGCTAGTCACATTTTTTTTTAATATGGCCAATTCAGAAATCTGTTTTGTTTGATTACAAGTTTGTAAAAAGGATTTTCTTTTTCTTTTTTTTCTGGAGGGAAGACAGAAGGGAGGAGAAAGAAGGTAAGTGATTCAGAGAGAAGGGGAGATTGTTTATTGAAAAAATTAAATTTTTAAAAACGTTTCAACAAAGACAATCTACTACGTCCAAGGTGCAGAAGGTAGGATTAAAAAAAAAACCAGTTCTTGCCTTGGACTACCATAAAAACAGGGGAAAGATGCATACACAAGATGACAGTAAGAGGAATGAGACCTGTGATTTCATTAGTTATTAGTGGTTTCCAAGTGAAGAAACTCCCTCTACTAATGCAGGTAAGGCACTTTCTCTAAAACTCATTATCTTAGGGAGTTGCTAGAGCACTGAAAAGTCACGTGTCTTGTCCAGCGTCATACAGTTCCGTAAGTTATATTCTTGGCTTCCAGCTCTATAGTCACTCACTCTATACTGCTCTCAGAAATATGACACAAAATGATTATCCCTTTATGTAGCACTTTAAAGTTTACAATGGTAGAAATAAAGAAAAAACGGAGAAGGTCTGGACCTAGAAATGTCAGCAATCACTTAATTGTGCTTCCTACGCGTACGATCTGGGTCAAGTTACTTCCCCTCCCTGGGCCTTTGTAGTATCCTCCGAGAAAAGGGACACCCGAAGGGGGTATCTAGCAGTATTTTGCTTGCCAGTGTTTTTATGTCAATAAAACTCCATGCTCCCAGCAGCCCCTCCATTAACATTCCACTCCTTCACAGATGCCAGGCTGTGACGGAAACCAAGGCAGGGAGAACGGGTCACCCAGCACGCCGCCAGCTCCAACCCTGCCTCCGCGCCAGGCCCAGCCGCGGCGGAAACACAACTAGGTGGCGAGCCGCGACCCCCGCCGCCCCACGCTCCCTCGGAGGCGCTCGCTGCAGGCCCAGATCCCACACCTCCCGGGATCCCTCACCGTATCCGACCCACCCCTCACCGAGGCTCTGCCAGACTGCGACCGACTAGGGAAACCGGAATACCGCGCGTCCCGCGCTTAGCTTCCTCCCGCGAGAGCTTGACGCGCACAGGCGCAGAGAGGCCAGTATTCCCACCTTGGCCCCGCCCCCAGCCTCGCGATTTGGCGCCAAATGTGGAAAGGCGGCCATTGGGCGGTGCCTCCTCCACGTCCTCCCGGAAGAGCCCCCCCTCCTTTCAGTGAGTTCACTTCCGGTGACCCTGAGCCGAAGAGAGTGACAGATTTATGACTGTTTATAGTTGGAAAGACCTTTAGAGAGCAGATTTCTGAATTGGCCATATAAAAAATAATAATAATAATGTGACTAGCCCGGGGATGCCCAGCAAATAAATGTCAAAAGCAGAATTTGATCCCATATCTTCTGACTACTCCACTACTTCCACCTACTCTGTGTTGTATGTTCCTATTTATTTAAATATCTTCATTTGTTATGTGATCTTCTTGAGGGCAGGGAGTATTTTTGCCCTTCCTTGTATCCTCAGGGATTTTCACTGTGTTTGGAACATTCTAGATCTTTATCATTAAGTGGACTCTTGGAGATCCCGGACCATACAATCCATGGGGTTTTTTTGGCAAAGTTACTGGAGTGGTTTGCCATTTCCTCCTCCAGTGGATTAAGGCAAACCGAGGTTAAGTGACTTGCCCAGAGTCACACAGCTGCTGACTATGTGTCTGAGGTCTCATTTGAACTCTCTTCTTCCTGATTCCAGGCCCTGCACTCTATCCACCAAGTCACCTAGGGGCCTCCTATTATAAATACTTAATAAATGCAGGTTGACCTACTGACAACCCAGACCAGCAATCTGTGACTGAAGAATTAATCACCTAGATAAGAAACTCATGATGGTCTTCTTCAACCAGCTGGAGACTGATTTTTCAGACCACAGAGCAGCATTCCTTTCCAGCTTGCTAGAACCATTCAGAGCAGTAGCATTCACAAACCCAATGTCCTCCTGAAGTAAAATAAGGCCATACTCGGGAGGACTTTATTGATTAAGAGAAGATCAATATATGAACTCACAAATTTCACCATTCACTATTTTTAAATTTTAAGATCAATTATTGATTAAAATATTGAGAACAATTTCTCAATAATAAAGGCTAGCAAAAAAAAAGTTAGGCATCTATTTGATAAATTAAAAATAAATTTATTATATGTTATAAGGAATAACTTCACATTAGCTGGCCTAGGATGAAATAAAATAGTTTAATAGGCTTCTAATACTTAGGGAAGGTGCCAACAACTGGGGGGGGGGTCAGAAAAGGTTGGGGGAGGTAATGTTTAAACTGAGCTTTGAAGGAAACCAGGAATTCTGAGAAGAAAAGTGAAGTTGAGAGTGCATCCCAGACACTGGGAACAGAATATCTTTCGTATGGAACAGCAAGAAGTACAGTTTGGCCAGAATGTAGTATATGAAATGGGAAATAGTAGTTTGTATTTGTTCTAGAGATACAAGGAAAGCACTGATGTTTCTTGGGCAGGGAAGTAACATAGTCAAGACTTGTGCTTTAGGAGCTTGTCAGAGAGGAAGGAGAGGAGAGACTTTGAGGCTGGGAAATCAATTAGCAGGTTATTTATTGCCTTCCAGGTGGGAGGTAATAAAGGCCTGAGCTAAGCTGGTTGTGGTATGATTGGAAAGAAGGTGACAAGAGGAGAAATGTTGAGGTAAAATGGGGGAGACTTGGTAAATTAATTGGCTGTGTGGGGTGAAGGAGACAGAGCAACTGAAAACGACTCTGAGTTTGTGAACATGGGCATCTAGAAGGATGTCAAGGGTCAATAACAGATATAGAGAAGTTAGGAAGAGGGGTTGATTTTACAGGAAAGATACTGAGTTCTATTTTGAACACTTCTAGTTTGAGATGGCTATAGGACGTCTGGTTGGAAATGTCCAGTAGTTGATGATGTAAGAGTAAGACTGGAAATATAGCTGGATATACATATAATAATCAGCTAACATTCTGTAGCACTTAATAAGCACTTTAACAAAGTGCTTTACATATATATTGCCGATCTAAACATTTCTTTTGATATCTGAAAAACTGTGAAGAATATATTCACTGTACCTCCCATTTTACAGATGAGGAAACTGAGGCTCAAAAGAGTTTTAGTTTTAGTTGAGTGCTGATGTTAGAAGAGAGACTGAAAGTAAATGGGAGGTGAAAAAATGGTGGCAACCAGTTTGGATAGCTTTTTTTACGAGTTTGGCTGTGAAAGGGAGGAAAAATATAGGAAGAGATCTTCAGGAAATAGTAGGCTCAAGTGAAGGGACCCCAATCAACAGAGTCACTCTAACTCACTTTGAGATTTCAGAATGTAAGAGGCAACTATAAGAGACAATGAGGTATTAAAGTAGTCTTATTTGCACCATGTAAAGGGTAATCAGGAACTCTTCACAGATTATAAACTAGGAGTGATGTACTCACAGCTTGTAAAGGAAGCATAAAGAAGTGTTTACATTGTGTTGCCTCTTTGAATTAAGTCCCTCCACCAATTAGATGGAATTGATGGGTGGCCTTAAAAAACAACAACAGCCATTATACAGACAAAAACACTCTCTGGGGGTCAGCTGAAGCCAACAACAGCTTTAAGGAGTGTAATCTTTAGCAATGGAGAAGAGCGGGGAAGAAGCAGTGTTGTTTGGCAACAGAAGAACTCTCCCAGTAAAAGTTGCTCTGTGTCCAACAGTGAACAGACCCAGACAGTCCTGCTGTGGAATTGAGTTGAGTTGTAGAGAGAAATATAACCGCAGAACCCAGATTCTTGGCCCTTCTAGCAGAAACCCAGGAGGAGCAATGTAAGGATCCCATGAGAAAAGACACCAAAGACATAATATCCCTGTTGTTCTGGAGATATGAATTGACTACGTGTATTCCCTAAAGTATCTGTCTCTCCACTTGTGTACACTCTATGCATGTCCACTCTCCTCACTAACACTATGTGTATTTGTAGGACAGTGTAATCCAGGTTTATAGGGGGAATGCTTTGTTACTACTGTTCATGCTATGCCATTTCACTAAATACTTTTTCTTTGAGTTAATTGTGTCAAGTGGTTGGCTATTAAAGATGATTACAGTGGGTGGAGGCTCATAAGCAATAGTTTTAGGAACGTATACACATAGAATACTTTCAATTTGGAGTAGTTGTCCCTATTAACCCGCACAAGCTTTGAGTGCCAAGTTGGTGAATCGGGGAGGTATTCCTGCAGGGTATGCTGTACTAAAATGAGGATGTCCTAGACATGCTTTTAAGTCGTACTGGAGGTGCCAGTGCATAAAGAAAGACTGAAAATAGGGAGAGAAAAGGAATAATCAAAAGGGCGAGTTCCTAAGGATATGAGATGAATGGCATAGGTAGAGAGTTGGTATTGGCAAGAAGGGCCATCTCTTCCTCTGAGACTAGACCAAAGGAGTAGAAAATGGTAGCTGATATGAAGTGGTTTGAAGTGTAGAGCTGGGGAGAAGTAAGAGCTTTGGATGGATGGCCTCAAGAATGAAGTGAGGTCTTCTACTGTGAGGTGTTGAAATTGCAAAATAGTGATTGTTGATCTAGATAATAAGAGAGTTCTGTTGCTTACATTATTTTCTTCATGGTTTGCAATATCATATTCATTAAGGTATAGTATATTGAACTCTAACCCAAAAATAGAAAATTGAAAAATCCAATCGCTGGATAATTAATTATTCATGAGCACTTGGAAATATAGTGACTAGCAAGTGTAGCCCAGTGAGTTATTGTAGATGACTAATTTTCTTATACTCTCCCCCTTCACATATGAGAGATATTAAAATTAATTAATTATATATAGCAATTTCTCTAGAGATACATATGAGACATATCTGTTTTCCTAAGGTTTGTAGCAATGAGCCTCATGGATTACACTGATATCTTATGTCAGTTCTTTTTAGAAATTTTTTATCAAAGCAGTAAATAAATAGCTATGAATCATTCCTTTGGAGCAATTCCAAAAGTATTAAAAATTTGAATAGCTAGCAATTTCATTGTATTGAAGAAAAAGTAAACCTAAGCATCAAAAGCCTATTAAACTATTTCATTTCGTCTTAGGCCAGCTAATGTGAAGTTATTCCTTATAATGTATAATAAATTTATTTTTAATTTATCAAATAGATGCCTAACACTTTTTTTGCTAGCCTTTATTGTTGGGAAATTGTTCACAATATTTTAATCAATAATTGATCTTAAGTTTTAGAGATGGGTTAGAACCCGTGTTAGAGTTGAGGGTTCTATAACCTTTTTAAGTATGAGAGCTCTTTTTTTTCTTTTTGAGAACCCCTTTTTAAGATGACAAAATTTTCTAAACACTTATGTAACAGTAATTATACAATTAGCGTCCAATGAGTGATAAAATACACAATTAAATCATGTAATTAGTTGGTCTTCCTTAACCATTTTAGAGGAATGTACTTTGTAAGGGGTTTGTTTGGATGTTTGTTGAGAAGTGTTTGTTGTAACAACCAAAACATATGAATACAATATTTTTTAAAAAGAAAATACACGACCAAATACTGATTCATTGACAGGATGAAACTACTAATTATGTTCAACTCACTTTGTAGGTTAGGTAGCTGAGTCCCATAGTACTCAATCAATAAGTATGTATCAAATGCCCACCATATAGGTTCAATTACTATTCAAAACATGAGGCTTATAATCTACTGGAAGAAGCAATATTAAGACAAATGAGAATATACAGTGCAAAATGATATGTAACTATATGCTATTACACTCACGTATCTTATATTTTCTAGTATAATATCTTTTTCAATTGGGAAAAAGAAAAAGCCCTAAGCCACCTTCTGACAGAAAAGTGATGAACTCAAGGTACTAATTGAGACATATTTTTTGGACATGGCCAATGCGTGAAGTTGTTTTGCTTGACTATGGATATTTGTTACTGGCTTTTTCTTTTTCAGTGGGGGGTGAGGGAAGACGGGAAGGAAATGAGGTGGATTTTTGTTCATTGAAAAATTTTTTAACTGAAAAATAAAAATCGCCCTATTCCTTCCCCCAAAAGGCCTGAAACATAGGCACTATTAGGTAACAACTTACTCTTCCGTAATACCGTGGGCCCAAGGCACAGTTGTTATCAGGAGAGGAGCAGGAAAAAGAGCACAAGTGATGGGAAAATTTCCAGTAGTCATAGTGTCTATTAGGAATAAAGAACCAAGCAAGACCAATCTGCTGACAAAGACCATAGGAATCAAGCAGAACACAGGAGCTGCAACCATTGCCTGTGTTGGACTATGACAAATGCTATTTTAATAGAACCTAGTAAGCTAA